AAGGTGTATGTATGTGTTCATCGCACATATGTCTAGGTTAAATATTTGGAAAGTACAGAGGTACATTTTTTAAGAGTTTGTATACAATTTTGTAGAATTTCAGCTGCACTTTGTGTTCTTCAAACAGCCACTCCTTCATCTCTGCTTTCAAAATTCTGCAGTAGTGAGTCAAAACAATCTAAACAAGAGAGGCATACAAAAAAGAAGAAAGTGTGCTAGTTTTTTTCATGTTAGATTGGTGATACAAAGTGAAAGTTCAGAGAAATTACCATCGTCTAGACTATTGTCATACATTTTGTGTGATGTGTAAATGATTGTAAAAATAGTCTGTCTTAAAAAGAAATTAATTATTTTAGAATAATAGCATACAACTCAAATATTCATATAATATTCACAGAAAACCAGAATTGTCTCATTAGTTATGTAGTTAAGCTTTAAATGCTCTGTATTCAGCATTACTTTGCACACCGACATTTCTTTTGATGCAAAAGTGTTCTTGAAAAATCTCTATTCTTGAATGCTTTGGTGAAAAATATTAGAATGCTTTAGGTATAAAATGAGCTTTGTGACAAAAGCGTAGGAGTAGTGAACTGTGCTGGTTTTGTATTACAGTGATCCAGTAAGACCTTCCTCTTCCTTTCACCTTGCAACAGGCCTGACAACATTGTGCCTCCTCAGATTGTTATTATTATTAATTATAAAAGTCTTGCAAATTTTAGCCACTTATGGCATGTTACTTTTAAAAATAGAATGTATTTAGATTCAGGTATAGTACTGGTGGAAAATTGTATTTCAGGCTACCATATGTATCAGTTTATTAATAAAAAAATAATAAATAATGGCCATAGTTGATATTAATTATAGACCAGTATCTGATTGCCAAATGACCTTTCTAAAAAGCCTACGTACTTGTTACCTTGCTAGGTAGTATCATGAAGCATGTGAGTTTGCTTCACTGACTTGTGGATTTTCTCTTTTATATCAGTTTTGTTATCAAACAGAAAAATATTTTCTCATATTTTACTGGCTATCCACAATATCAGGTACCAGGAAAGGTCAGAATATTAAAGTGACAATATGGAAATAATATTTGACTTACTATGCATGTGGATATTGATCTGTTTCTCAGAATAGGTAATTAGATTATTTTAATATGGTTTGTGACACAAAAAATAAATTAATTCTCCATTGGTCCAAAACCAGTTTTATGTTCTAAATAGCTTAGATCCCTCTTTTTCAAATGGGTGAATGGAATCTGCCATGATGAATCCTATTTCAAATGCAGGTAGGACCAGATGGAGGACCAGAGGTAGGACCCTCTTCTCTCCTTACCCAGAAATACAAAGCTTTCAGTGTTTGTTCCTCAGGATACAGGGATGGCATCTGATAATTCTTCCTGCTCTTAAGAGACAGATCTTGTATTCTGACCCCCTTTTAAGTTCATGTTACTTTCCTTTCATCCGATCCTTTTTCATTTGTTTATACTAGGTAGACAGTATGCTACTGTCATAGAATCATATAATCATCAAGGTTGGAAAAGACCTTCAAGATCAAGCCCAACCGTCCACCATACAACCCCTAACCACTAATCCATCTCCTGAAACACCATGTCTACCTATTAACATCTCCAGGGATAGTGCCTCCACCACCTTCCTGGGCAGCCTGCTCCAATGCCTCACCACTCTTTCTGTGAAGAAATGTTTCCTAATATTCCATCTGAACCTCCCCTGGTGCAACTTGACCTCATTTCCTGTTGTCCTATTGCTAATCTCTAGGGAGAAGAGGCCAACGCCCACCTGCCTATCACCTCCTTTCAGGTAGTTGTAGAGAGCAATGAAGTCTCCCCTCAGCCTCCTCTTCTCCGGGCTGAACAGCCCCAGCTCCCTCAGCTTCTCCTCATAAGACCTGTTCTCCAGATCCCTAATCAGTTTCGTTACCCTTCTCTGCACCCTAGTCCAGCACTTCAATGTCTTTCCTATACTGAGGTGCCCAAAACTGCACACAGTGCTATCTTAACAAATAAATGATAGACATTGAAAAACAGAAAACAGTGTAGTTTTCCTTTTGTTCTCTCTTTTTAGTTTTGTTTTTTTTCCCTGTAAAGCAAAGGATTATTTTGGTAGCACACATGGTCTGGTTTCAGATTTTCCTGCTGCACTGAGTTATCATTGGTAAGAGGTTACCTGTGTCAATTTACCACTCTGGTTCAGTCTCCATTAATAAAAATAGCCTTTCAACAATTTTTTTAAAATTAAATCTGTCTTGACATTTGCCTGTCTTGTGTTGGGCCCATCAGAATTAGCTTCATGGATTACTTTCTTTACCTCTCAGCTCATTAAGTTAGTTGATTTGTTTTGGAGTCAGAAAATGTTCAGGCAGGGAGGGGAAAATTTTTATCAAATCAACTTTGCATGGAAAGAACTGCGTGTTTGCCATCTGCAGTGGGCATTGATCCCTAGCTTGTTTGTGGCTTGCATTTGTTATGCATGATTAAGCACATTAGCCTTTTCATTTCATTCATTAGACAGTTAGTCCTTGATTAGTGTTTCCTAGTTTCAGTCAAATATGCTACTTCTCCTTTATTCATTTTGTCTTGGGTCTGTCTTTTGCTTCAGTGTGTAGAAAATGAACAGCTAACCACGACAGTAGTCTTTTTATTTCCTTTCATATAGATCTGACTAACAAATATACTTTTCTAATGCTGGCATATTTGATACGGGATAAAGTATGAATGATGGGTCTTTCTAAAGTTAACGGAGTTATTATTTTAGTTCAGCTGGCAGGCTTTGTTTATAAGTCTGGTGTCTCAGGGTTTACTGTCAGCTTTATTTCATCCATCTCCAAGAACTGTGGGATCACCTGAATATTTGTGGATATTTGCTTTATAAAGTTGCATTTCATATAAAAATAAATTTAAAGTAATGCTGAGTGCAGTTCGAGAATATCAACCTGAAAGTTTCAGATGACAGTTTGGATGACAGGACAGAACAATAAGGCATTTTATGACTTAGCACTAGCTCGTTCTCTAGGGGTTTTTGCTGCCATTTCCTTATGGGACAGTAAAATGTTAAATGGCTATTTCATTCTTAAATATAATAGAAAAATAAATAAATTGTGATGTGAATATGCAGAAAGCAACAAAGTGTATGCATCTTTAGAAGCTACATAATAAGATTGTGAATAAAAATTAATATTTCAGTGGAGCCCATACATTTAGAGATGTCACTAAATGATTTTACTTCATCAGTGATTGTAAATTTTGCCTAAAAATCTATGCTATTCTACATTTTTATGTAGGTAGAGTATGTGTAAAATACTATGACTTATTTATTTGTCTCTTATTCATAATCTTAAAAATTTATTTAAATGTTACCCATCTGTCAAAACAATTTTGTATTTGATACAGTATTTAAGTTCATATATCTATTTTTCAAAGTACTCACAGGCCAGTAAGCAAAACCTAGAAGTTGGGCCAGTCTGTTCTCCAGAGAGTCCCTTGTTTAACATCCTAGTAAATAAAAACCTACCATAGTCATAAAGTGTTGCAGCCATGTGTGATGTTAGTGGCTACCTACATATTTGCACAAAATCCTTGCCTGCTTATTTGAGATTGATATTAACATTGATTTCTTCCAAATAAAGATTATTTTAAACAAGATATTTTAATCATGTTAGGAATCAGAAATATGATAAAATTCAAGTATTTTATTTTGTTCTTCCCCCAAATGCTAATTCTCACAGTTTGAAAATAACTGAAAGTGTTCCTAGATGTTGACTTAACACTGAATGTAATACTTCTCAAATTCTTAGCTTTTATATTTTCATAATAATTTAAGTTGCTATGTAATGTATTTTTTTCATAGGCATGATAGTTGATTATAGTGATAGTTTTATTCATAGTTTTTGTCAAACTCTTTTTACAAAGAAACTGGAATTAACTTATATTTCTTACTAACTGAATTAACTCTTCTTATATTAACTCTTCTTATATATGCAACATTTTAAGACATAAACACATGATCGAAGTGGATTTCTGTGTTTACTATCTCCTGCAAGAATGAAGACTGTAGACCTTATACTCTCACGTCATTTAATAGATACGTTTAAAGATGAAATAACTTTTCACTTTCTTAATTCCCAGTTTGTAAATTTTTGATGAATTAGTATGCAAAATAAATATTACATGATCTGGAGTGAGGAAAATATTTTCATACCCATGAAAGAGATAGATATAAAAATGCTATGAAAACTGATTCTAGCACATCCGTTCCAAATATTCTGTTTTCAGCAACTCCCATCACCACAATGGGTTGATTCTTTTTAAAATGTTGTATACGTGTATTTCATACAGCTATTTCATTTCAAATACACATTATTTTAATGCATTATTAGCATAATTTACTACATTTAAAAATATTTTTATAAAATGTGTTTAATTTAAGTAATTAATCTCTTTTTATTTTAAAAATTAATTTCCCCCCCATGATTTCTTTTCCTGACATACAGCAAATGGGGCTTCTTTTAGAATTTATTCCCATTTTCTATCAAATTTTAGAAAAAGCTATTCAATGGCTGTATGCAAATATCAAGCTATATGCCTATGAAGTAACTGCTCAATCTATCACTCACTTTTACTAAAGGAATGGATTTCATAGACTTTATTTGGTATTCCAGCAAGAAGGAAGTATATGAGTGGTCATACTGTAAACCTTCACCAGATCTAGATAATATTTGCTGTACAGAAGTGAAAGACACTTTCAGTGAATGTAACTTTCATGTCTGATTTGTAAAAAGGAATAATAGAGGTTGTAACAACTGTAATAAATTATAAATTTCAGATATATCCCATTCTTGGAACACTATGCCTGTAAGCTTTCTAAGTGTTAAGACTATTGGTTTTGTTGAAAAATACCTTAAAAATTGTATGCCTTGTCTACAGTTTTGTTCTTCTGTAATTTTCCTGTCACAATAGATTTACAGTTTTCTTTTTTTCCTGTTAGGATGCTTCAATTGCCCACAGATTCCATATCATGAGGGAAAAACATCCAGAGAAGTTCAACAGTAGGTAAGAGTCTAAAAATATTTGCATATGAGAAGATTATTTCCATACTATTAAGATATGTTCTCTGCAATAAATAAATTTTGCACATCCTTTAAAATATTGATTCGTATAAAATAAAGGCAATTGGTGAATTCTAAATTAAATATATGCTCCCAGACTTCTTCTAGTATAACTGTTTTGTATCTGGTATTTCAACTGAAATGAATAGCAATATAAATAAACTCTTCTTACATGCAAAATGTTTGTCTTGTAAGACTAGCATGGACAAGATGATGCGTTGTGGTATCTTAGGATCCCTGAATTGACACTTTGCCATTAGGCACTGAAGAACACTTATTAGACAGCTGCAGATGGTGATCCTTATGTTTCATTCCCACACGCACACTGGTACATTGACAGGGGGCTTTTCCATATATACTCTTAGTAAGGGCAAGTGAATGCCATTTTACACATAAATGCTTTTATCATTAAACAGCTTTGGATATGTAAAAAAGTCAGGAATGAGACTGCATCTGTTCCTTGTGTTGCTTTCTGAATTTGCAATGTTATCTCAGAGCTTTTCTGGAGATTAAAAATGTATTACAACATGTACTGTAAATTCACCTTTCAAAATTTGGTTTGTTGAGCAGATTATTCATAATGCAATGCTTATGTTTGTCCCTTCTTATTTCGGTAGTTTAGCACATAAATTGTGATAGGTAAAGGCAACATTTCAGAAACTTTGATTAACATTTAAGCATACATGGGGAGAGGACAGCAAGATACAGAGTTATTTGGAATAAATGAAGTATATGTAGAAATAATTATTAACACTGATGTTTTGACATTGTGAGTCTACCCATAGACATTCTTTAGCTTTCCTTGGAGGTGACCTGGAAAGTCTTGTGTAGATGCAAATCTTTGTAGACCTTAGGATGGTAGAACATGCTTTTTGTGCTGTGATTTTACAGCTGTACAGAATGATGTTTGAGTATGTTTGAATTTCGTCTAACTTATTACTGGTTTCATATTGAAAGTACACATTTTACATTTAACAGTCAGAGTTGGGGGCTGTTATTTTTAAAATACTCATTCTGTTTAGCATCTGTGCAATGGCATACTATGACCCTGAGTGTATGTTTCATTTGAAGTTTCACAGTAAACATTTATTTTGTAAGATTCCCTCTTCCTACCTCCAATACTTCTCATTCTGAAAGAATTCTGCTATGAAAAGATTTAAACTCAAGCCTGATCTGCACATCCCAATGTATTATACTTGTTCAGCAATACTTGAGATATTGGACATTTAGCAAATGCAGATATTCCAGGCCCTGACAATGAAGCTAGTTTATCAGTGGTCTTTCTACATATTTTCAGCAGTTGGCAATTATAATTTATAAAAAGCTCAGCTAATAACATGAATTTCAGATCAGATTTCATGTCACAATAAATCATATGCCATTAATAACATCTGCTACCAGACTCACCTTGAAATTCATCTATATTTTAAGAAACCTGATGTCTCTAACATTATCTTAAGGAAATTAATTAAAAAAATATATAGTTTCAGTCTCTATGTGCTTTGGCACTGCTATATTGAAAGAACATGGAAAAAGCAATGATTCTCTAGGTATTGAAAGACTATTAAAAAAGATTATGCATTTGTAAAAAATAATGCAGAGATTTGAGTGAAATATTGTAATAGAGACTGAGGTTTAAAAATGTTTCTTATTTGAATGAAACATGCAGAAATGCAAATTTCTATTTTTGTTGAATACAATTTTCCAAATTGAGTTAGTGCATGAATAGTTTGTTCTTCAAGCAGTTGTTTGCATGTGGCAACACTCCATAATATGTTGCAGCAGCGTTTTCCTGTAGTGTGTGCAAATAAAACCCTTTTTTAGATGTCTGCTAAACCACATGACTTTATTCACCAGAATGTGGAATTTGATGTGCAATCTAAATTATTTGGGATCAGCAAGTCCAGCTCAAGTCAGTTTCATAGTGGGCTCCATAGTTTGTAGCACTTACTCATTTGAAAATCCTTCATTGTCACGTGTAAATATTTCCTGATTTAAAAAATCTGTTCTTTTGTGGTTTTCTATTAGTTTTCTCTTGCTCAGTTTTCTAAGGGTTTGAGCTCCCGCAGTTATCATTCCATTTTGTAAAGCACTGAGGTTCTGCTCTGAAAATGAATATGCAAAAAGTTTCCTCACTGAAGAGAAACTTTAAGTTTATGCTCCATGCAGAGGTCTTTTGAAGCCCAAAGGTGTTGTAATTTGGTTCAGTGAAGTAAGTTATGTTAAGTTTGGGGTTGGAGACTTTTGCAGTAATTCCTGGTAATGATCCTCAAATTCCTGAGCACATTCTTTGACACTGATCCCACGTTTCATGTGTAAATAGAGCATGCCAACAGGAAAACTCCTGACACATTGTACTTGAGTATGAAAGCAGAGTCTTCCTGTACTTGCTTATCTTCTCACAAGGAAGCTGAGAGCATATCCCAAGGCTTGGGAGGACTTTTTGGTGACTAGTAATCCAGATTGTAGAATGCTTTGGAGGTAGGTGGCTAATTATTAGGAACTCGTTTTGAAACTGTTCATAGGTATTGGACACAAAAATTCTTGGTACTACTCACTTGTTGAACAAAGAAGGAAAGAAACTAAGGTGTGGATTTCTAAACTGCCTGCAGATACTTAAACACTGTGGGTTTTAGAAAATCTCAGATTAGGCATAAATACTTCTGAATTAAAAATCCACATTATCTGTTCTTTCTAAATCTTCAATTTACTTAGCAGCTACATTGTGACTTTTCAGTGAAGCACCTGTTTATTTCAGCCTCTTACTAAATTGAAATCAAGTTCTTTTGTAAAAAGACTCTTCTTTGTTCAGAAGCTTCAATTTCACTGAAAAACACTTAATGCACGCCTTAATCACTTGAAAATGTTATACTTGTAAGCTGCAATATGGGATGTCTCCATATTGTTTTCCAAATAAGATTCAGCATAAATGTGTAACAATTATTTTAAAATATTCATTACTTGTTTCTAAAAATGGATCTGTAGAAGATTTTTTCTTCTAGTGATGGTCAAATAGGAAAGAATGGAAGTGAGAACACAGAAGCATCCCCACCTCTGTCAAAAGAATGAATCCTAATATGCCATTTTAAGTAATCCTAATATGCCAGTTTAAGTAATGGTATCTTGAGATCATTAGCATACATTATCAGAAACCAGTTCTGGCACTGCATTAAGGTTTAAATGTGTTCATAAAAGCCAGAATCTCAGCTGTCACAGTACCCACTATATAGGTCTGAAGTGCTGAGAACCCTGTACTTGAGAAAGCAGGGTTCACTTCCTAGCATCTCCTTCCTGTTCAAGAGTAGTGTCAGATTTTCTGATTTCAGTGTGTAAGGGCAGAGTTAACCCTAGGGGGAAGCAAACTTGCAAAGGAAAGAATTTCAAGTAACAGTATCATTAGACAAGGACGTACTGTTGAAATAATGATGCAGTTAGGCCAGAATGCCCTGCAGGGAGATCTGTGTAAACGCCATAGATTCAATGCTAGGAATAACAGATGTGTAAGCAATGTGACTGGAATATGCACAGGGAAACAAATAATGGGTTCAAAAAAATATAATTCAGATTGATATTAACTATTCTAAAATAATATTCAGTTAAATTAGGCATTCTTATTTGGCTCTCTGACACCCTGTACTATAAAAGATATTTATTAATCTCAGTAAAATCACGTAGGATTTATAAATTGCATTTACAGTCTTAAGTACAGCATCTTTGAGGATTTCAAACATCAGTTTATATTCCTCTTTTATGAAGAACAAATCCTAAAACAGGAAAAGATTCTATTCCCAATAGCTCAATCTGTATGATATTCTTGACCGTGTACTTTTGACATTTCCTTACAGCTTGCTAAATTATGCTTTTATTTTGTTACAATAGGTATGCACTTCATCTGTCAGGAAATTTTTAAGTAATCAAAAGTACTGACTAACTCTGTGCAAGTGATTTCCAAGATAATAACTGTTCTTTTAATGAATATGAGTAAAGAAAGCTATGCTTTTGTTTTGACCTACACATTATGCGACACTGGTTTAATCTGGAAAAGCTACAGACAGAGCAGGTAGGAGAAATGGCAGATCAACAAATATTTACCAAGTTTTCCCATGTGTACAAAATTGAGTACTGCACTATACAATGTAGTCATCATAGTATCCTATCTTGGCTGACCTTAGGAAAAAAAGAAGTCCTGTTATGCAAGCACTGTGTTCAAAGGCCGTATTGCAAAAGATTTCTAATCTAAACCAGAACACAGGTATTCCACTTTAATATTGGAAATTCCCCAAATCAACTGATTTTGAGAGCAAGTGCTAATACCAGTTTGGTGACTGAATACCACAGATTAAAGATCAGTGTAAACCTTTTTTTTTTTTTCTTTTTTCATAAGGCAACCTGAGTTTTAACAGTAAATTATTTGTCATGGGGTAAATAAAATATTTAGTTCTCACAAGTTTTTATCCTTTGTTTTATTTAGCTTTATTTAGCTTTGAACTGAGAAGTCAAATTGTTTTATTCCAAATAGAATAGAACTATTTTGATATTTCCATTATTCTTCCAGTTTTTCAGCTTAGGTGATGAAGTCTCTTGGGTTGAATCACAACTGCATATTTGCAGTGAATTTACTAATCAACATAAAGTGCCTGACTTGAATTGCAGACATTTCAGTCACTTTCCTTCCACCTCTCCTCCCTTCCTGGTTGTGTCTGAGCTGAGAACTCTTAAAAAGAAGACACTAGCCCCACAGAGAGACCAGATTGCAAACATCTGTTACCTGTCCCATTGAACCCAAAGGTTTCTTTTCATAAAAGGATAAGACTCCAGGGAGCAATACCTCTGAACTCAGGCAATATTACTGCATTCATGGTCATCAGATGAAGCAACACAAGGCAAAAATACTTATGATAGACCATGAAATATTTTCACATAGGCAAGAGATGGCTTGTAGAT